ATCGAATCAACAACCTTTCGATTACTGAACGACCCTCTCTGCCTCTGAGCTCTGCCTCTAGTGACCACGGTGCCCATTTGTTGAAATCCATTTGTGTAAGTCACTCTTACTGGCTGATTAGTATGGTAAATGTTAAATGGACTGTACTTATATAGTGACTTTCTAGTCTTTTAACCACTCAATGCGCTGTACACTACATGCCACACTCACCCCATTCACACACATTCATACACTGATGTCAGTGCCTGCCATGATGCAAGGTGCCAACTGCCCACCAGAACGTAAAACTAATCATTCATACACACTCATCGGGAGCAATTTGGGGGTTCAGTGTCTTGCTCGAGGACACTTTGACATGCAGCGAGAGGAGCCGGGGATCGAACCGTCAACCTTCCAAGTGGACGACCCGCTCTACCTCTGAGCTACAGCCGCCCTCACTCACCCTTGTGTGCGTTTGCATGAAAAAATTTAATGTCCAAAACAAAGCATGTATATTTACTCCTTGCCTTCACATGTGCTGCATATAAAAAACAACTACTAAATTATTATTGTAAACAAAAATATCAAAAATAATAAGATTTAGACACAAAGCTGCAAAAGGTCTAAAAACTTTATGCTTTCCAGTCAACCACACCACAAGGCAACAGTACTTTTCCTTTTAAGCATAATCTGACCTGCAGGGGTTACACATATTATTAATAAACACACACCACAGACACGATACAAAATGGCCAATGTAAATGGTAAATTTAAAAATATGAATAAATACAAACTAAGAAATTGGCTCCTACAAGTATGACTTAAACACTGATCCTTCAGGTTATCGGCGTTGTGCAGATCAAATAAGTCTGAGAGAGGGCACAACTGGGGGGATCTAGAAAGAACTGCCAAAAACTGAGTGAGCTGGAGAACATTAGTCAGTGGCTTATGGAGCAAAAGGCTTAAGTGAGTAAGTGAATATGTAAAAAAGTTGATGTACTTGCATGATTTTATTATTATTTTTTGTGTGCAATTTTTTGTTTGTATCGACATGGTTTAATGCATTTATTGTCGGTTTAGATAAAAGGGTCAGCTACATAAATGTAATGTAGACGTGTGCATTATGTCCAAATCTCAGTTGACTTCACTTCTTTGCCTGGTTTACAGCCTACTAAAGTAAGCTGCAGTGACCCTGTTACAGTCAGTGACGTTTATTTCCTGTAAATCAGCTGTTTTCACCTGATGTTCTCAACTGGCACAATCCACCCTCTGAAGAATAACAGTGAAACCAAAAGTAAAAGCTTTTTTCTGGTGGGGGGATTCAAAGGTGAATCCCCTCCCTTTTCTGCCTCTGATTGGCTCTGACTGTAACCTCATGCCCAAACCTAACCAACTCAAGTAATGAAGTCAATAAGAGGCGGGTCGAGCAAAGTAGACATACCAGTATAAATATCCTTCATACGCACACTAAAGAGTGGACAGAGAGAGAGAGAGACAGACTGTGTTGCAGCTCATTCCAGTTTGAAATACACCACAGAAGAGGAACAGGAAGATGGGTAGGTGTTTCTGTAATTTTCCTGTTTGTAGAACTTCACTTGAATGTGCTTGTGGTATAAACGCAACCTAAGAAAGAAACTCTGGGATACTTATTAAACATAGTGTGTCCTATAACTTTTTTTCATATTAATTTATATTAAATGTTTGTATGTGTCAACTGTAATTTTACAGCACAAGGCTACACTGTATATCTACCTGTATATCTTCCATTTGTAGTTTTGCGGGTCCTGTAGTGCCAGGAATGCTATAAACATGTACATGTAACTGTAAAGTTCATTGAGGTCCTCATGATTTGTGGTAATGTTGATTTGCAGGTGTGTTGATAAATAAAAGAATCAAATAAACTGAACATTTGCAGGTTATGGAGACATCATGAAAGTTGAAACTACCGGTGCTTCGCAGAAAACAGCTAAGCAGGACAGTCTGGGATACTCAGGTAAACTGCAGTAAATAAACAGCAGCTGATTTGATCAAAAATAGTTGAAAAAGTAATCCTGTAGTCTTCAGGTCTATGGATTGAAAGGGACATTTTTGCACTTGTTGCACTGAGGCCATAATCCTGTTCTGAATTTCTCTCTAAAGGTGTGAATGCATCACACACCATGGCACAGACT